GTCGGCGCGTGAATCGGTCTGCGCCGGGAACTCCCGTGCCGGCCGGCGACACACGTGGTTACCACAAGGCTACTGGAGGTTTCTAGAGCTTTGGCGAGAGCTTTCTGGAGCTTTCTGGAGGCGCTGGAACGCTCTCTGGAGGATTCTAGAGCTTTCTGGAGCTTTCTGGAGGTTTCTGGAGGCGCTGGAATAGGCCCTATATTAGAGTTCAGTGGTTATACGCAGTTTGGTGCAATCTACATTTCTCTTTCTCTTCTCAATGGCGTGTGAGTAGAACGATATGAGAGGCGATTAAACTGAAACATTTTTCCGCCCTGTGATGAACAAATGACGATGATTTCGAGCATTCGAGGCCCTATATGCCTACTGAGTAAGTTATCAAGATGTCAAAGACTCCAAACTGATGTGTCCCGGCGAAGCATAACTGCGGGCCAGTAATGGAAGGGCTCCTTTGAACCGACTGCTTATAATCGTAGTTCACTGTGAGTGTTGGCTAAGCAGTTATTTCTGTGGCATTCCGATGCATTCAACAATGCTGAAGTGAATAGTTACGGTACATTTGACGCGTAGAGTGGTCGTCATGTCAATATTTATGTAGCCAAATACGACAATGTGGCGGTTGTGAACTTCCGGGATTCTAACACTGCTTTCGAAAATAGAGTCGCTGCTTACCAATGTTTTAACTGCAAATCACAATGCTTTCCTTCGTTCTATATAACCACATTTATAATGCTCGTTTATTAGTTTTCTAGGCCAACTAATATGTATTTCTCAAAGGGTTAGTTCGGTGGAGAAATATATTTTACGTATCTAAGTTCAGCAATCCACCTCATGTGCAATCCCATCCCTATCAAAATATAAGCTAACGTCCAAATTTTGCTGCAGCTTAACCCTCGCCCGCACATGCCATTTTCCCATCCTAGAACGCTCATGGGGGGATTGCCCCCCCGCGCCATTTCGTTCCTGTTGGAGATAGAGCTTCGCGGTAAGACCAAAAAGATTCTTTGGGAAGACCCAAATCCAATGATACCCAGTTTTACCTTCTCAGGTCAGCCATTGACCTTCCAGGTCAGGTCAAACTAAAAATTGTTGCTGTTTTGGGTCACCGTTGGATATCAAGTGCGCTGCTTATCATATACCAATGACGATGCCGTTTTCTGGTGCCAAGCCAGCTAGAACCTCTTTGTCACACTACCCGACCATATTTTTGCTGCTGAGGTCATTTCAGGTCAAGTTAGGTCAAGGTCAATGATATGTGTTTGTATGTCTGTGTGTGTCTGTGTGTATACCTACTTATGTGTGCACCGAGTGTTTATGTGTCCATATTACATAAAATCATGATCTGAGAAGCTGTTACCAAAATGCAGTCAAAAAAAATTCACGAAAAGTAAATTCAGCTTGCCTAAAACGCAATTATTTTAGATGACCTAGGTTGACCTTGACCCTGACCTTGACATCTGTACATTGTCGAACAACATGTTCCATGATAGGTGGGAGGTAAGACTGGCAAAAAAGGCCGAAATCAAGGTGTCAAAAGCTCACAAGGCCCATAGCCAACGCAAGATGTTGAGAATTGGTCATTTGGGTCATGACATGACCCGAAAACAAGGTCATATCTCCGAAACCAAAAACCACAGAAACTTGAAATTTTCAGGGGACATCAAGAAAGGATAGAGGAGCAGCTATATGAAAAATCAGGCTTCTAGCTTTAAAAATTATGAGTGCAGAGGAGAAAGACTACCTGGGTGGGGGTGGCAACCCCCCCCCCCCATGTGCGGGCGAGGGTTAAGCCATATCGGAACAGGCTAGCAAACATATGACCTGTTAATCCGCGACCCACTGGGGTCTGCGTATAACACGCCCTACTGGGAGGGGGGGCTATTCATAGCCCCCCCCCCCCCTCCTAACTCCGAAACTACTGGGCCGATCGTCAAAATTCAAACGGCGTCTGATGGCCCCGGAAAAACTGCCGAGCGAAACCTAATTTCATTGACCTCGAAGTCACCGATGACGTCACAGGTCAGGCCAAAGTAAAAATTATTAGCATTTTGGCTTCTTCACGTTTTGGGCTCTGGCCGCCGTCTTACAAGTCAGATCAGGCTCATTTTTGGTTCACACACTCGTGAACAGATGCTCTAGATACTCTGAGGGTACAAAACTTGTACTTTGATTTTCAGGTCAAGGTCAGGTCATCTCAGGTCACGAAAATATTATATCATCCGTCGGTCACGTGACACATGTTTTATGGTCCTTTTAGGCCAAAAATTTCTAATTTGATGTCGTCTGTGTCATTCGAGGTCATTTTGAGTCAAGTTTAGCTTAGGTCAGGTCACTTTCAGGTCAAAAAAGGTCAAATTTTGAGGTTAAAATTTTTCAACAAAAAAGGTGTCTATTGGATGCAGTTTGAGCTCAGGAACACGATGGTGCTATTTATATTGGCGTACGATGTCAAATTCGTGCTGAAAAATTGATTTGAAAAATTAATAATTGTTAATTTTTTTGCAAATGCGTATAACTTGGCCATTTTTGAAGATATTTAGCTAAAACTTGCTAGAGTTAGTCATAATAATGCGTTCTATCACATATATTCCTTTTTTTTCGAAAAGTCAAAAACAATTTGAAAAAAAATGTAAAAATATAAATTTGGAATTTTATTATATAAAATTTTCGAAATTTTTAAATTTCGAAAATCCGAGATAGCAGTTTGATAGCGCAGTCGATTCTGAGTCCTCTCATGCAAAGAAATTGGATCTAGCTTAAAAACTGAGCTCTTGGGAGCGATTGCCGTGGTTCAATGTTTTGCGTCGAAATCGGCCGAACATGACGTCACTCTGACGTCATTTCCGGCCGACCTATGGTAGGTACGAAGTTCAAATTTTGACACAAGGTGTCAAATTGATGCAGCCGAAGGTACTGAAAGTTTGGCGTCGATACGTCAAGCGGTTTGGAAGTTATTGCAGAAAAACGGGAGGGGGTCTATAAATAGCCCCCCCCCCAGTGGGGCGCGGGTTAAGTGTAATCTTCTATCAGTTCACACACAGACCGTTCGAATCTCGATATCCAGCAGAGATCGGTGGCGTCTGTCTCTGTCAGTGTCTCTGAGCCTCAGAGCTCGTCTGTCGCCGGCGGCCAACGCTAACAGAGCAGTGTGCCAAGTTCACGGTCGTCCCTCTTGCAGACCGGGCCGGCCCGGCGCCGGAGGGGGGGAGGGGGGCTCCGGTCAGAATTAGATAAGGTGACGAATCCATGGAGACATGGGGCTAGAGAGGATCGTGACTTTTGGAGCTGGCTGAACTATGAATTCAAGCCAAGGTTTTGAAGCAATGGTAGGATAAAAGATGATTGATATATGATTATCTCAATGTTCTACTTGTGATTAACCTGGCAGTCTGCATCGTGCATTGTATTCTCCTTTAGGTACCTACAGCACTATGGCACCTAATACCTCTCAGTAAAACTCCCCTACCCCTGTGAGCTTCCGACCCGGCTCCCATCCAACACATCTCCCAGCCGTGAGGCATGGCCCCTCGATGTCCAGTGAAAACAAACCGTGCTGACAGGGGCTCCGGCGGAAACGTCGAATGTCCGAAGGCCGAACGGTTGTAATGTAAAGGCTCGGTGGATGTGAGGGTGGAAGGTGGCCAATGGCCGATGTAGACGGTGGACGAGAGATGGTGGACAGCTGATGATTGCCAGTGGACGGCTGACAAACGGTGGACGGTGGACGGTGACGATGGACGATGGACAGTGGACAGCGATAGTGGACGCCGGTGGTTAGAGATAGGTCAGTGGACGACTGGACTGATAGTGGTCTGATAATGATCAGTGGACGACTAATGGTAACCGGTGGACGGCTTTGGTGGATTGTGATCCATAAAGTGGACGTTGGAATATGATAGTGAATGGTGGACGGCCAATTACGATAAACGGTGGATCGTTAATGCTCGGTAGACGTGACGGTAGAGAGCCGCCACTGCCACTATGTCAGTGAATGTTGCGTTGCAATGAGCGGACACTTTGAATCATTGCGGATCAGTGGAAGGCACTTATCGGTGCATAGTGCAAACTGTACCCACTTCGTACCTTATTTGATTCCATGACCGACTGACCGGGCAACAAGCGAGCATGAATCATTGGGCTGCGATACCCATTCAACGCGTGCGATTAGATTACGGGCCGTCACCGTACCTACACCTACACACTGGTAACCCACGCCATGCTCGTGGTCTCCGCCAACTATAACGTGTGTTGGGTGCGTTTTTAGGCATCAACGCATTAAGATATAAACGCAATAGGTACCCACTGTGAGTGTAAATCACCAGGCACAGCACAAGCCATTTTTACTGGGTGATCCGAAATCATTGGGATCCAGATTTATTCACAATCTAAATTTACTGGGGTCAAGCGGGACAAAAAATAAAATAAAATAAAATAAAATAAAATAAAATAAAATAAAATAAAATAAAATAAAATAAAATAAAACAAAATAAAATAAAATAAACGAAAGCATGTTGGTGAATACGCCGTAGTCAGCAATCCGTATTTGATGACGGTATCAAATTGCTTTCGTTAATGGCTGTTTGGTGTTTATTTTTCTGAAAACTCCCAGCCACGTCCGTCGGCCTTTGAAACTTTATTCTGCTGTTCGCCCGCTGATGACTCCTCTCAGACTCTACGCTGGGCGTTCGATTAGGAACAATCAAACAACCACATTCGTCAATACCTTGGCCAGTCCATCAGGCGACACAGCGGTAACAATGGAGGTGCACGGCCCCGGTCCGCGTCTACCGTCCACGGCCAGTGTGTCCCGACGAGGCCTGACGACGCATTCGGCGCGCGTCCGCCCCTTTGTGTCGGCTCAGAGGTGAGCACCGCGACATAGGGTATTGTGTCGGCACTGTGGAGCCATTTGGGCTGTGGCTTATCGAGCTACCCCGTTCACTTTACCGCGCCAGTCCTCAGTCAATGCTCGAGTCAGCTGAACATCCTCCCTTCCTCACCTGTGCAGGAGGCGGTCCTCCGGGGACTGGTCCTCAGCCGCTACTCCTCACTCCTCACTCCTCTGTGAGAAATCGACTCTGTGATCCTCCCCTGAAACTTCAGCTGCTGGTGCTCTCACAGGGCGATGCTCACACCTCACAGCTCACCACCACAGGCCGGAGCCGGCCACCGTGCTCCGCGCTCCGTCACCGCCACTGGCTCGGCGCCGCGCGCGCTGCACGATCCCAACCACGACTGACTGCGCCGGCGGTGGGCGGCGGCGGCGCGCTTCAGTGTAGGCCAGCTTATTTGCCCCGCCTCCCGCGGCGCCTGTCCCCGACAACACGCTAAACACTACATCAAAGTGTCGTTTACACGTCGGTTAGATGGCCTAATTGGCAGCATTGCAGAAATGGAGCGTTCTCAGAATTTGAATTTGGCGATTAGCGTTCAATATGGTAAAAACTGAGTCATACCGTGTCACTTCTTTATCGCCATGTTACAATGGTAAACAGGCAAGAGCGGCTAAACTTAGCGTTCAAGCCTAAGGAGTAGTTCAACACCGTTCGCACAAAGTGGAATGCTATCGTTTCCACCCTGCAGTGTCAGTCAGCTGACCTCTGCCACATCCAGTCTTCCCAATCTCTTCCTTCTGCGTCTCTGCCGTCAGTTAACTCCCCGCTCCAGGCCATCCGTCAGTCGCGCGACGGCTGCCAATTGGACCACCTTCACACCCGCCGGCCCCGCTGTCCCCCGGCTGGCGAGAATAAAGCAAAACACTGCCAGCGCCGCCCACCCACCGGGCAGGCGATCGCGGTGACCTGGCGTGAGCTGCTCGTTCCCAGTGTGTGTCTTGTGTATGGAGATTGGCTGTTTATAGTTTGTCCGACGCGCGGCTAAGCAGGGATATGTTGTGATATTTAATCGCTCATTCGTTTTGCAACCGTTTGTTGGATAATTTTTTCACAACAGCCTTTGAGAAAATGATCGTGAAAGTGTAAGCTCGTCATAAAAATTATTTTGAGCACTTTTAAGCTCCTACATTTTTTGTACATATTACTTTCAAAACAGCGCTTGCTGCCGCGCTGCCGAGAAAGGTTAGCGAGAACAAAGTGAGCGGTATTTTATTCGCACTTTATTGAGGCGAAATAACAGGAGCAGTGCACATAAAACCCAGCGTCTACAAAGGTGTCACACTGACACATCAATCTTAGCAAGCAAAATAAGAATTGAATCTTCACTCATCGAGGACGGTTCATTTAAAGCTCTTGTTCCGAACTGCCAGTGGCAGTACCCATGGCATTCACCTGCTAAGGCAGACATGACGGTCAGCCCTCTCAGTCTATGGACTTCGCGGCAGGTCCCTCAAGAATTGCCGGTAAGTTTCTTCTCTGGCTCGAGTGGAGAAAAACGTACACACAAAAGTTACCAACTACTAGAGTACATGATTTAGTGGAACGACCGTAACGCATCGTAACAATTTATTTTCGAATGAACTGTCATTAATCTAATCGCATGTCTAGTTACGTTCTTCAACTGTCATCAAGGCTTTGCTTCTCTTAACTTCCAGACTTTAACATCAACGCAGACTCAGCTCTGAACAACAACACTCAAGCTCACAACGATGCTCGCATCATGCGACATCAAAAAGCGACACACAACCAAGCTGCGGCAGCCGGCTGCAGCGAATATGGAGGCTCGTCATACCCGACCTGCTCCTGCGCGCCACCTGGGCTCCAGTCGGCGCGGAGACCTGGGCGACGGCTGGTGCTGCCACCTAGTGACTCTTGTCGTACGAGTCCTTCTCCTTGTAGCCCTGCACGTAGCCGTCGTTGCTGCTCTGCTCCTCGCGACCGGAGATGCCCTTTCCCTTGCCCGTCTCGTCAAAGCGCTCCTTGTGGCTACCGGTGTACTTGCTCGTATCCGTCAGACGGTCGACAGCGCCAGCCTTCACCGTTTTCTGAAACGAACGAGCACCACAATTCACAAGTGGTTACCACGCCTAGGCACCAGCACAGGACATGACCTGACCGTTCCGACATTTCCATCCTCAGGACAGTTAAATCCTTCCCCTCCACGCCTCAAACCCCCTGACTCGGGCTGAACCTTCATCCAACGTGGGTAGCTGCACCCATGAGCACCGATGAGCAGGCCCATCGTGCGTAGGGTGAGTGTTTGTTTACAGGGCCGGTTGGGATATCCTGTGACGGCCTCAGCCCCGGCGACACACCCGGGTATCCGCCCAGACAAATGTCTCCCCCTAATTCCTGTCATCCGTTCGGCTCTGAAAAGCCTCGTTGGACCGAAAGGACCTCACCCTACAAAAAAGCGGTCGTGCCGCGCCGACCGGGGTACGAATTTCACTATGTAGTCCGAATACCTTTTTTATTTTGTCCAAGTGGATGATGGGAGGGGGTGGGCCGGGGCTGTGAGCACGAGTACCACACTTAACAAGGCTTATTGTTAGTGACGCCGCGCATTTTAGCCGAGAGTAAATTAAAAATACCGTAGGCACGGTCCTACCGAGTAGTAAAGTAATCTTGGGTCCTACCAGCGTGCCGTCTCGTTAGCTGCTAACTGGCTTAGTCAGTGATTGACGGGGGGGAGGTGGTTTTATGGATCCCCCACCTCTCGTTTTTCTACATTATCGATACGACACATTCAGTAGCCTCCGCTGCATCAGTTATCAGCCCTGTGTTTGTTTGTTGATTGGGGCTTTAGGGCGCGCCGACTGCTAAGGTCATTTTGCGCCCATATCAGCCCTGTGTTAAAAACAGAACGTTGTAGCTATCATAAATTGGATGGAAGTGGTATATGGATTAACGTCATGTTGGACAATTTTGACGCAAAAGTAAGGCTACTTCTACGGCAATTTCCGTCTTTCGCCTGGGAAATGTGACCTGTTTTTCAAGACTACGTAGGGCCGGCGACACAGATCAGCCTGAGTTCTCCTTACGTGAGCGGTTGAGTAAAATAGCGAATGGCGGACGAGGGTTAATTATAATGTATGTCACACGGACGTCAAAGTTATATAAATGGTCATGCCGGAAGTCTTGTGTGTCCTGCTCGAGATATTGATAATTGAAGACATTTCTGTGAAATGCTGGCGACGTTAACTCGTTACATAACTGAAAAATCATCAAACGTCCAGTAATTGGCTCGATGCTGACGTCGACCCGCGGGACCGCGCCTTGCTCAAACCGGCACGCTCACAAAGACTGGAAATTGTGGGCCGTTGATATTGGCTGATATCACAGAAATCAACCAAACCAAAACGAAACGTCATTTCATTCCTGTTACTCTTTGTCGATGTTGCATTAACGATGCACACCCTTTCCGTTATATAACGCACGAAACAAGCATAATGAGAACAAGAGTGTTGATCTTTCATCATAAATACATTAGAATTTCTAGGACACCACCATAGACATACGTTGAAAGCAGGGGAAGGAGTGAAATGAATAACACATTCATCAGATAGGTCTGTTTGCAACGTCTGGCCGTTACGTAAAACGTTTCACAAAATTGTCAAATGTTCATTAAACGGCGCAGCACCACGAGGCCGGGCCACTGCTGGTCCCTTGTCGTGCATTCTTTGTTTCCTGGATCACGCACCAGCGCTCGATTTCCCTCACACGGCATTACATGTCTGGCAAGCTTCCTATCCTTTATTGAAAGGTCCCATTATTCCAAAATCGTCATATTATCTCCCAGCTGCCAGCTATGTCGTTATGGTCGCTTACCGTGGCTCACCGTGGCTCATTGGGCCAATGTAAGTGTCCCTTAGCGCGACTCTCCGGAACAATTCCAATCCCTTACCATGGCTCATTACAGAGACTCTGGTCCCTTACCGTGGCTGGTGACTTTACTATGTCGATTCGAGTCCTTACCGTGGCTCCCCAAACCAAATTCAGTCAACTACCGTTACTCCGGAATATCCGGAATATTCACAGACAGGACATCGCTTCGGCTTACCTGCTAAACAACATGCCTCTATGTAGGTATACCACCTCGCCCATTGCGCCAGCGCAACCTGTTCCATGTACCGTACGCGCGGGTGACCACTGTTAAGCAGGGACTATTTTGTCGCATTCCGCGAACGTGCAACACATTTCTTAACGAGCAGCGTGAGGCAGACGTTTGGCACCTGACGCCCTGCAGTGGGGAAAAAAAATTGGTCGTGACATATTGCCGAATGCATTGCTGATGCATTTTAGTGTATGTATCTTATTATGCGTATTTTTAACTTATTTTAACTTATTGTCTGAAATGTGTACTTCACTCGTCAATGGGCCCACCATATCTCGTGAGTGTTTATGTAATAAACTAAACTAAACTAAACTCATTGGGCCGATTCTGGTCCCTTGCCGTGGCTCCGTCGTGGCTTCCCTGACTGATCTCACCTTCTTAACTCACTAAGTGACTCACTTATCACTGGGTCAATCACAATGCCTTACCGTGGCTCCCGAAGTGCCCGGGTCGCCGCAGTCAGTCAGCTTCTGCTTGAACTCCTCCAGATCGATCTTCTTGGTGCTGGTGAGGTCTTCCAGAAACTTGTTGAAATCAGCAAAGTTTATTTTCTTTTGCCTGAAAAAAGCTTTATGCATTGTAATTGTCCATAATAAGATAGGTAGTAGACTTGGCCAAAGGACAAAAACAGAATGCTAACGCCGAATGCTCATTGAGTTCAACCATTTCTCCTATTCGTGACATCGTAAAAATCCCTACCATTTGCTAGTTATCCGACCTGCTGATTGTAAATGCTAGTACTCGGATGATCTTTTCTGAGAAAAATTATACAATATTGAAGTGTACTTTCCCAGCGCCTATGCTTTAAAAAAAGGATTAATGACATAACATGGCATGGGCATGATATCCCAGTCAGTTATACATTCTTTATTTCGCTGAAAACGTGTGCCCGCGATGACTAATTCAAGTACGATTTTCAGCAATTTGTAGACATTGGAGAAAACAACACATGATACAATCGGATTTCTGAGCTCAATCTGCATTTGAGACAAATATTTAGTTAATATTAGTCTTAATTCCTCACTGTGACCGGGACTTCACATTAGGTATCTGTTAAATACGGCATTGGGCGGCATGAAAATTGCTGCTCAAATTGCATGGCCGAAGTAAGCCTAGGAATGTTTCTAACAATGACCTTTATTTCTAAAATTCAATGACACCTTGAAGAGATCACGGTGGCCTAGCCTGGCCTAGTCTTGACCGAAACAGTACTATAAGTATCAGTATGGGCTCGTTAAGGCTCGGCGGTACTTAAAAATTAAAAGCCTAAAGCCTTCATTCAAAAACTTTGAGTAACTTGACGAAAATTTTGCCCGCTGTTATTTAAGTTTATCCATGTCTCATCCTTGAGTGTGTACATGCCTTCAGTGAAAAATGGTAGATTCTGACCTGTAACGTAATAGGTGACCTCGAAGATAGCCAAATGAGCGCTCGTCAGATTTTTCAACCTCTTGAGCTAGCGAACGCCGTTTTAGTTTTGCAAAAGTAAGTGTGGCTCTAAATCGCCCCAGTCAGACGCATTATCGAAAATACCCCAATCAGGCACGGATTGATGCATTTCATTTGGTTCAGTCTTCCTTAGGAATTTCTACCCAAAAAATTACTGAGCATGACCTGATAGCCCGACCAAACGGAACCGTATGTTATATGTAAATGTGTGGTGTATGTAATATGTATGTCGTGTAATGAGATGAAGTGCTGCATATCATTGTTACTTTGTTAGTCATGCAATCGTTTTCAGTTAAAAGCGAAAACCTGACTCTTAGGAAATAGGAAGTGTATCTGTAATACCCCCGTCAATTTCATTAAATTCAAAAGCACGGTTTCAGCAGACACCACATCATGCAATACAAATGGATAGTGGTCAAGGGCTTTTACAACATAACTGGATATTTTCGTTACCATCCAGTCAAAAACACACCGTAACACAAGCAGCTCCTCCGCCAAAGCCTTTGGCCTGTGGAACAAAATGATAAAATATGACTTACTTGAGCTTTCCGAAGTGGATGCCGGTGTCTGTAGTAGACAACTTCTTGTTAAAAGCATTCGCTTGCTTGAACCATTTGTCGATATTGGACAGAGTGATTTGAGGGCCGCCAGATGACGAGCCCGGACTGGCACCAAAATTGGCGTATTTCTCAAACTGTGCTTGAAGGGTAGTCATGATGCTTGCAAAAGCTAGTTCTGCAAAATAAAGACTTTCAATTTAACAATGTTTCAGGTTAGTTAAGTCCGATTTAAACAATAATTTAACCTGGCCGCTGAAACGAAGCTGTCAATTTTCACAAATTTGACAAAAACGATAAAGCGAAACGTCACGTTACCTGTTGCTATAGAAACGAGCAGCGAATTTCAACCACCTGCGCTGTATCTCGCGTCTGGGTGTCGAATGGAGCCGCCGAGTGGACGGAGTCCCGTCATCACCACCGCTGCTACCAGCGCGCTGACAGAGTCGGAGTCGGAGTTGGGCCGACCAATCAGAGACAAAGGCGTCATCGACGACACGCCCCGACACAGCACCTCGACGGGCGCATCACCTAGTCTGAGGTGCATAGACAGTGCCAGTCATGCACGGACCGAAAATGTCTTAGAGAAGAGCATTGCCGTGAAAACAACATAAAATGGATTCGAATGTTGTGTGATTTTTGGCTAACGCGATCACGTTCGCAGCATGTCACTAATTTCTTAGACCCATCTTTAAAAAGTGCTGTCTACCATCGATGAATAGCACAGGCTTATAGGTACAAATGTTGGTGTAACACTAGATCTTGTTGCAAGAGCGTTTATTGCCATCCCTTTCAAGCCAACTGTGAAAACACAAGCGAAAATTTTCATTTCGCAGAAATATACACGAACATAACATAAAAAACAGCAATAAACGGGCCATAATAAGCCTATTTCCTGCTATGAGATGATGATGAAAAGGCCATGTGTGAAATGCGATTTGGGACGAGAAGCTAAAATCATTTGAATGCCTAACACAAGGTTTACGCAAATGACACAAAACAATATAAGAATAGCACTAGGTGAACAGTTACGTCTTCAAGCTATCCCATGGGATATTTAGGAAATTACAACGTCTTATCATTTTGTTAAGATAAATTGAGCAGCCTGGGACAGAGAGAAATCCGCCACACGAGTTATGTCGAAAAATAGCGTCATGAATGATGAATTCCCTCGATGGGCGACAACCTATTTCGGCTGGACAGCACCCGGCACAGAAAACTCCTGTCCTACCGGTAAAACGCATATGAAATCCGCCCGGGCCGGTAGCATCTACCGATATATCGAAATCGTAGCGGGGCTGGCCGGGCGCCGTACGGGTCCGCGAACACCCCACCATGGCAGTGCAGTGGAATAGTGCGGGGGACAGACAGGGAGTCACACACCCACGCCAATACGACGGACAGGGCTAGCCCCAGTCGGGACACCAACGCGACGGCGAGTCTAGTGGCAGCTCGGCTAGCGGCAGAACGGCAGCGACTTGGCGTGAGTCGGTCAGACAGTCCCTTCAGGCCAATAAAAGCCTCCTGCCGCTGTTATTATCCCGACCCGAGCCGGACGCGGACGGACGAAATCGCCGACCGGCTGACCTGAGTCTGCACCACAGGTCAGGATGACCACCATAGGTCATAACCTCCTCGATACCTAGGTCACGACCTCGATCCTCTGACCTGTCTCGGTTCGCTCAGACGCGCGCCAGCAGAGTTCGTAGTGACGGGTGCGCCGGAGTCGAGGTGGCCGTCGCAGGCGTACGGACGGGCGCCGCGGCCGGTCGGACAGGGGCCTGTCGAGGAGGGGGTCAACGGTTACATAACGGGAGACGACGGGTCGAACATGAGGGGAGGTACACATTTCAAACAACGCATGTGACGTATGTGATAATGCATGATTGAACATCGTATATTTGGCAGTGTATGTGTAACACATGTGTGGGAACACTTAGATAGTGTGTTACCAAAGACACTGTTGGTTACAATGCCGTTATGGCCAGGAGCTCCGAAGAATCGCATTGTATCACACCGGAGATTTAGTTAAAGGGACCCTCCCACCTTAAAAAAGTTAATGAATTGGCATAAAAGTGGTGTACCGTGAATCAGAAAGAGCGAAAATGAACATCTACCAAATTTCACCGAAAAATATTCACCCGTTTTTGAAATATAAGACTTTTATTTTATAACGCGCGGTCAATGGGCTTGATGACGTCATCAGAGTCCGTTAGTGTTAAGAGATAGGGACTACGCTGGTCCCACCCTGCAAGTAAAGGGAAGAAATTTCTTGAACACTATAAAGCTGCAGGGGTTGCGACCAGGATAAATGGTGGTTTCTGAGCCTGGCCGCAAACTTGGCTATCTCAACTCAAAACTAATGTTAAGGTGGGAGGGTCCCTTTAATGGACAATCGGTCCAAAAATATAACGAGAGGCAATATGAAATTCCAAAGATGATGGTACCGGGCAAAACATAACCCAATTATATACATAGTAGGCATAAAATTAGCGGTAACACATTCAAAAATAATTTCTAATCAATCATAAAGCATCCCAAATTGTGAAAGTGGAAACGATAAAATATGTACGGTAAACGTACCAAACACTGTCGACGCGACAATATATTGTGCCAATTCTCCAGTATCAACATTATTAGTTTTGGACAAAAACGGCAAACTGGCACACACAGCCCCTGCTCTTACCTGTCCGGCCGGCAGGAGTCCGACGCCCATGGCTTTGCGGACGGCCGCCTGTGGCGCCACCTCACCGGGCGGGACGTGTTTGACCAGTTCGGCCAGACCGGCCGACACCTCGTCCGCTGGAATGGGTACGACACGGCGTCACCAAAGGGATACAGACTGCAGACTGAGAGGCTGTGAGAGAATAGTGGGAACAGAAAACTAAACACAAAACAGACGGGACGTTAAATTGTACCTCATCCTAGAAAAGTCAAGGTCAAATGAGAGGCAGCTTCAGTTAGACACACAAGAGCGACGGTGTATCCCCGGAATTACTGCAAGAATCTAAGGCAGGGGTCGGCAAATGGTGGGGCATGCCCCCTTTGGGGGTAATGGCGCCCTTCGGCGGGGGGCAATGAGGGCCTCTGAGAAAGCCTCATCTTTTTTTAGAATTAATGGCTCCCTTGATGGGACAGACATCGCAACTGTTGTGCCCCAGGATTCAAAAATTAGTCGAGGGCAAACGCACAAAGCATGAACTGATCGCATGCCAATTTTCATGTACATAGCTGCTCACCATTCCGTACAGCCGTGGAAAGTAACTGTCATGTATTAGCCGGCGCTCGCCTGTTGGCGTTTTCACAGTCACTAAAGCAAGGGAGAGGAGTTGTCCATTGCACCCTGACCCGTGCATCTCGGCCTCTGAGCTGGAGCTTTGCAGAAAAATTGAGCGTGCTGCCCGTGAAGATAGGCAGCCGCTACTACCCAATTTAAAGGTCCTTGGTCATTTGGTGACCTTCCAGAGGTCAATGACAAGTCCCGAGTAAATCGGCTCTTGCTGTAGCTTCTTGAAGTGAGATTTTGTGGACTGCCATGATCTCAAGAAAGATCTCACAAATCAACGGTTATTCGGGTTAAGGTCATGCCATTTTCAGGACAGATAAAAATGATCGGCTCGAGGGTACAGTTTTTATGATCCGACCCTTTTAACGTGATCTATTCCCGAAAAATACACGCTACCCCTATTCGTATGGGGGTTAACCCGCGCCCTGATGGGGCTCCTGGGTATCCACGCCCTGCTGGAGGTGGAAGTTGAACCCCCTCCCCCCTACTAATTTGGCTCCTGGGTCACTAGCGAACCGCCGTAGTCGGCGTTCGAAAGAGAGTAAGACATGATGGAGGAAAACTATGGCCACTTTTTAGGTCAAGTCAAAAGTCAGCTCACCATAGGTCATCGAACGTAAAATTTCGCCAATTTCCAGGTCAACCTTTGACAATTTTCGACAAACTGGCCTATAGCTCAGGAAAGGAGAGAGCTACAGAGCTGCGGAAAAACGCATTCGATAGCTCTCTTAACGTTTTTTTTTCTGAATGACGCCCTCAGATTTAACCTAAGAATAACGATTTAGCCTGCGGAGACAAAAAAAGGCTAAAATGTACGTTGTTTGCTGATAGTTTTTCTTCAGTAGCGTTTCACTCAGAACTTGCAAGAGCTCACTTTTATCAGCATCGTGCTCCCCCCCGTCGAGAAGCATCGAAGGTCTTGTTGCACATCAGGTGATCCGTGTCGTCGAGCTATACACATCTAAGGTATTTTCATCGCTCTGGCATGCCTTTATCAAAAGTTATTGGCGAAAAACTATTAGATACCGTTCACGACCTGAAATGACCTCAGGGACATACAGCGGGGTTACGGGTGCAGTTTTCCGGCTCAGTGGTCATGTTTACTTGTGATTCAGTGCTTCACAGTGCTAGGAATGACACTCATCCAAAAGAGGCGTCTTTCAATTTCTACCATTGACTTTGCGACCTCTCCCATTGATAACGAGAGAGGGCGTGAAAGTGAGCTGACCTTTGGTCACCTACATCAAATATCCGAGATACAAATTTTGTACATGTTTTGTTGCCTTTGTCAATTCCTGAAAGTTTGAAAGAGATCTGTTACTCTGTGTAGCTACAACAGGCGTTACAGTCTTTACTGAGGTGAGGTCACTTGACGTGATCTGGTGACCTGACTTTGAGCGACTTTGGTCTGAAATTTTCACAACATGTGCAGACAAAATGCATGACAAAATGTGACAAAATGGTGGCGCTCAACTTTTTTTTAGATATTTGCGAGAAACCGCAAGGGGGGGGGGGGTGAGCCTGTGGTTTCTCGCAGATATGGTACCCAAAGAGTCGCGGAAAAGTATGGAATTTTAGTAACCATGGTTATATCACCAATGGGGTCTGGCAGGTGGGGGTAATGGCGCTGGCTGGCGCCAAAAAAGGGGGCACGACCCAGGAGGACCTGCCGACCACTGATCTAAGGCAATCTAAAAGCGGTAGCTCCTACTATAAAGAGCCAGCCTATGCAGCAGCCTGTCACCCTCGCCCTTGGTACGTACCGAGCTGCAGTTCCTGCTGCGATGGCGGCGGCAGGCCGGCGTCCGGGGGCAGGCTGAGCCGCCGCTGCTGGGCCGCGTTCAGCGAGCTCAGCAGCTCTGCCGTCTGGCCCAGCCGGAGCTCCGTGTCGCGGTGTCGCCGCTCCTCCTCCTCCAGACCGTCCACGAAGCCCACGTCGATGCCGAGCTCTCCGAGCGACCTCAGCGCGGCAAAGTCCACCGGCGCGTCGGCCGCTGGCGCGGGCGCGGGAGACGGAGGGGCCGGCGCCGGCGCCGGGGCGGCGGCGGCGGTGGCGGCCGCGCCGGCCAGCGCCTGGTCCACCAGTCTCCGCCGCTGCTCCAGACGACGGTGCTGGCCGTCCGTAAGCGCGTCCAACACGCTGTCCACCAGGTCGATGGCGATGTCGCAGTCGTCGGCCGCCTGACGCACGCTGCTTATACATCGCCAGACATCCGACAAAGTCAGTTTCAGCCTACGCGCTTCTTGTAGAGACACGAGAAAGCACAGGGTGAAGCGGTTTGTTCCGAAAGTCAAAGAACTACCAACTATACCCAACATGTCGTCATAATATTCAGCTATATTTGCTTCATCTTCAGTTACGCCAGCCTCAACTCAAGACATGACCAAAAATTAATCACACTCTCAGTCTCACCACCAAACTACCCCTCCCTCGCCGGGCTATCAGGGTACGTCGGACGGTACCTGTGCGCCAGCTGCTGTCCCGTCGGTGAGCCGGCCAGCGTCTCAAACAGAAGCTCCGACTCGGAGTAGCTGACGGTGGCGAACGTCGAGTCGTAGCTGGGCGCAAACGAGCTGTACGCGCCGTAATAGAGCGGCTTCACTGCGGGACAGAAAAGGACAGAGGGTCAGATGGGTGGTGTATTTGAGCGGTCTCAATGAAGGGGCAGAGCATGATGGAAGGTCAGAGGACGCTACATCAGACTCAATCAGAGTGCAGCCTTATCTCACCAAAACACTGAGAGACGTAACTGAAGACAGTCTCTGTTAATTTCAGCATCGGTAAGTCGTTACCGTAGGCAGCCTTTAAGCCAACAATTGTGTGCAGTTTAAGCATAATACACATATTTCCACATGATCATATGAGAGCCAGGAAAGTGCACACAAGAGCCAATCATATGAGAGTCGAGACCCAAACGGCCATATAAAACAGGCCTAAATGCCACGACCAGTTTGTACTGCTATTTCTCACCACCCACCTGGCTTGGCCTGGTTGCGCTTGTCATCCCGGAAGGTGGGCAGATGGGGCACCCCCTGCTGGAGGCGGCCCGTCAGCGACCCCACGGTGGCCACCGGGCCGGCCCGCTCGCCGCCGCCGGCCACGATCGCCAGGGACGTGGTGCCGTCAGAGCGCTGCCGCAGAAAACCCAGCTGGCGGCGGACGGCGGGGCGGCGGTCAGAGGGTGAGGCGGACGAATATAGTAAGGCGGTTAGCAGTGGACACCGCAGCAGCAATGAATAGCAATGCCCCTCAAGTTCTGACCAGAATTAATGACACGCAAACTTAAAAGTTCAGTACAAGTCAGAAACTAATGGGCTGATCCAGGTTGTTCCACGACCTGGTTTTAGTAAGTAGCAAAAGAAAACAGTAAAATCTGACGACTCCCTCAGAGGGAAACGATCAAATTCAATACTATACAAGAGGTGTAAGGTTTGAATAATGGACAACGCCACATTATCCCAGCGTCGTTACCTTTCCACTGGCGGCGGGTTTCGGGGCGGCCTGGGGTGTGGCTGCGTCTGTCGCCGCCCTCTTTGGTCTCGCCTCCTGCTGGGACTGCTCCGCCCTGGACGTGGACGGGGCGGCCGACGGCGCCTCGGACGACTCTGACCTGGTCAGTCGGACTGAGGCTCTGAGGGTGGGAGGGACGAAGGTGTCACTACTGAGGGAATGGTTACTCGTACTGGACCCGGCCTCCGTCCAGGTTCGGTTCCGGGGCAGAGGGGGCGGTGACAACCCTCCGTGTCACATGCTCCGAAGGTATATCTCCATCCTGACTGGGTAGTTACAGCCAACCACCCCTAACCTACCACACTTCACATAGACACGTTCGAAACGAGGGTACGTTGCCGCCACCATCCAACAGTCCGCGAAACGTTCAGGAACAACATGCAAAGATGTAACAGAAGAATTATTCATAACCTAAACACACAGCATGTACACAACCACCATCATTTACAGATCACATTATATAAGTAGCTTTGGTACAAAAGCATGCTTTGCTGCCAGTGATTTACAAGGAACTTTCGAAGTCCAAAGGTACTGACTGGTCTTTGTGCCTTTGCAACACTTCTTATTGAAATATCATCCCATCAAGCGCCTCCCCCCCCCCCCCTTCCCCCGAAAGGCAGAATAATCGTACCTTCGCGTCTTCATACTCGATTCAGCATCGATCTTTTCTAGCACTAGATGAGGCTGTTTCATAATCAAAGTGCTGGAAGAAACAGGAAACGGCCATTTCAAGCACCTACGCAAGGGAAGCCAAGCATAAGCCCGCCCACCAGCAAAACGCAATCCAGCAGCGGTGAAAGATTTTGACCATTTCTTTTTGCCTAAAACGAGAAAAAAAATACGCGGTGGTTGAAACAATTAGAAAGTGATAACTGCATTGCTAAAAAAAAAACTTTTATAGGACAAGAAGACAGAAGGAAACATATTTTGCAAGAAACATCGACAAAGAATCATTCGCATCTTGTTTTAGTGCCACCCAAACTATTAAAAACAAGTGTCGCCATCTGTCAGCTGCACCAACGTAAATATACATCTTCACTCAATCTAGCCAGAACACCCCCAAACCCCAGTGAACCAAAACCAGCAAACCGAACCAGCCACCGGGTGCACCCCAGTATCTACTCACCTGACTGCCGGCTCGGTCGGCTCTGAAACATCCATCGACTCCTCGTCCTCCTGTTCCTCCGGTACCACGTCCTGCTGAGGGCTCTCCGCCGGCCTCTCCGGCTCCGGCACACTGCTGCGGGTCAGCCGGACCTCCGGCTCCGGAACAGACTCAGCCGGTGTGGCAGAGCGCGCAGGTGGCGCCTGGCCACCCTCTGGCTCCGCCTGCCGGACGCTGGCCGGTCGCGTCGGAGTCTCAGCAGCGCGCGCCTGGCGAGTCTGACGTCCCTCTGTTGGTTCTGGTTTCGGCTCGGCCTGTGGCCGGGTTTGCCGAGTCTGACGCGGGGTCTCTGGCTCGGTCTCTGTTCGCTCTCCGACGCCGGTGGCGGACGCTGCGCCCAGTCGAGAGGACCGCACGTCGGTAGTCTCCGACGTCGGGTCGACAACTGAGCCGCGCGTCTGCCGCCGCGTCTGACGTGACGAAGATGCCCCCACCGCTGCCGAAGACGATGAGGGAACGTCAACGACCATCGGTTCTGGCGCGGGCACCGCGGGTGGTTCGGGCTTAACGTCGGCCACCTCCGCCGGCTTCTCCGTCGCCACAGTTGGTTCGGCTGGCTGAGGCGGTGCGTCTACCTCCATTTTCTCCACAGCCTGAGACTCTACCGGCTGTGGTTCGGCAGCCGGCGGCTCTGTACGCTGTGGTTCTACTGCCTGTGGTTCCACCGCCTGTGTTTCTACCGCCTGTGGTTCCACCGCCTGTGGTTCTACCGACTGTGGCTCCGTCTGTTGCGGCTCCGCTGGCTTTGGCTCCGCTGGCTGTGGCTCCGCTGGCTGTGGCTCCGGTTCCGGTTCCGGTTGCGGCTCCGGCTCCTGTTTGGGCTCCTCTTTGGGCTGTTTCATTTGCGCCTGCGCCTGCTGCTGTGCCTGCTGTTGCGCCTGCTGCTGTGCCTGCTGTTGCGCCTGCTGTTCGTCCTGGTCCATGAGATCGGAAGCGTCGACGCCGAGCACCTCGGGCGACAAAGAGGCCATGTAGGGCAGCACCGAGCGTAGCGCAATCACCTTGTCTGAAGACATCATCTGGAGAGAACAACCGCACTCAGTCACATCACCATCAAGGTTTACAGCGCGATAATATTGGATTCAATGGGTTATGTTACGCATAGTACGTGACACTGGTCTGTATTCACAAACCACGCTCCGACTTCCCTCCGGGTATGTCACAGAGTCCCCGGTGTCATTAGTTCTGCGGCCTCACCTTGGAGCCGATGTGCAGCAGTCGCTTGGCCGTTCGGTAGTAGATGGTGTCCATGCGGTTGTACGTCATGGCGTTACAGCACATCAGACGAAAATCCTCCTGTGAAAGGCAGAAAGGTGTTATAGGAAATGGCCAGAACGCCAAAACGCTTTTTCACCATAAGCATGAGCTTACTTTCGCGGTGGTAATGAACGTGAACGACGAACGTATGTAAAACGTCTTAAGTTCAAAAGATAAGTTCTAGAAAAATAGCTCATTAAATTACATGAAGAAACACCACTCGATCATCCAGCTCAGGGCAGCCTGTGTATGAACTGCGTGCAGCACCTCGCGGCGTCCCACTGACCTTGAAGGCGGCCAGTCCGGGGTAGAGTCCGTCGCGGACCTTCTGCGCGATGGTGCTGAAGTCCATCGGCGTGTCGATGATGCTGCTGTAGCCGGGCGCCACGTCGTCCGTCACCGGCACACTGAAGAAGCCGCGCGTGTCCTTCTCCTGCAGACCGCGCAGCAGGTGCTCCAGGAAGCGGCGCAGCGGCGGCCCCTCCGGTGACGCGTCCTCGGCCCCTCCGGCTGCGGCCGGCTCCGGCGGCGGGCTCACCGTGCGACACCGCTCCGGCGAGGAGGCCGTGCCCTGGCTGGGCGCCTCCTCGGTGCCGGAGCTCTGCCGCGAGTCGCGGCCCGTCTCCGGACCCGGAGACATCTCGTGGTCGGGGTCGGCGCCCTCCAGCAGCCGCCGCTCCTGAGGGGAAGTACAGTTAGCTCCATTTACGGCCGACATGCATCGAGCGGCTGCGTCTGACTAACGCATATGACAATAAACAACTTTGCATTCCTGGCTTTCTCATTCCGTCGTAAATTTGGCATCGTAAAATTCGTAAACGTACACAATCGCAGCGTTCATGTTCAGTGAACAAAAAAAGAATACCTTCTTGTGTTTATGTTTCTCCTTCTCCTTCTTCTTCTTTTTCTTGTGTTTCCGCTCCTTGTGGTGCGTCTCGGCCTCGCTGATGGCGGCCATGTTGAGTCGGAGCGGCGCCACGGCCTGTGCCGGCGGCGTCTCTGCGCGTGCCTCGCTGCTCTCCGGCACCGGCGACCCGCCTACCTTCAGCACCAGCTTCAGACCGGCCGGCCGCGACACGGGCAGCTCTGGAGACGGGGAGATTTGTCCTCACATTGCAATATGTTCGACACACTGGACAGACTCACTGACCAGGAAGGCTTTCGGGACAAGGATTAGCCAGACAGACTGGTTAGAAAGAATTATTGGAAAGACTGATCAGATTTACTAGGATGACCAAGCTAAGCTAACCAAACACACAGGCCAGGGATTGACCAGACAGATTGTCACACAGACTGACTGACCAGTGAACAGACCAGATGAAAGATACACTGACCAGGCGCACTGAACAGACCAGACTAGAAAGGCTGACCAGACAGCAGACTTACCATGCTGACTGGGCTAGCTAGACAGACTGACTGATCAGGCAACAGGCAGACTATCTGGCTCACAAGTTTTATATTATAGTATTTAGAGCCACTTGTGCATTATGCTGACATAATTTTTCATTTCATAGGAAGTCCTTGAAACCATTCAGCTGGACACCTAACATAAACCTAGGGCATGACATTTCATGCTAGGCTGCAATGATATGCAAGCAACTGTATAACAATGTTGCTGATGGAATGAATGACCTATTGCAGAGCAACAATGTAGTGAGTCATTCTAGTCACTAGTGCCTCTGACTATCATAGAGCAGCTTCTAGTGTGAGCAAAGACATTTCCAAACTTCCAAACTTTCCTTAGCAAAAAAGCAGCGCAGAACACAATGCAGGACAGAGCACAATAAAAAGAACACTATCAAACAATGCTTGGGCACTGGGATGCCTACTTACCTTCATATTTTTCACGTTTGTCAGGCTTATACTCTTTGTGCTTCTTCTCCTTGCCCATTCTTTAGTGAGTCATGTATCTGAAACATGCAAAAATCTACATGACAATACTGCTTTGGATGGGTCAGAAAACGATCCCTACTTGGGATCGTTTGGGAGATGGGAATTCCAGAGCAAAATAATCAATGAGTGGAAAAGAGATGAGATTGAGAATTGACAATTGAGTCCATTCTATAAAAACTAAATACCATCAGACTGGGCTGATTTTATTTATTATGATTTATTATTTATTATTTATTATTTATTATTATTTGTTATTTATCATTATTTATCATTTATTATGATTATGACTTTATTTTTCACATTTGAAGCCTACAGAAAATGCAAAATACTTCTAGTTCTGAAAAGCAGAGCTTACAACTTCAGGATAAAATTTCATCTAATTCTTTGATGTTGTTGGAAGGAGGATAAATCCCCAGGCGGCAGGCCCAGCCAAAAATTTAGTTTGATTCAAGTCTGTTTTGCCCTGGAAACTCCAACATGCCAGATTTGGGCCAGTGTAAACGTAAAGCTGTCTGAACAGGGAGTTTGGGTGAATATGGTTCCATTCCGGTTAGCCAGTCTTTGCTACAGCACTCTGGAGTTGGCATGTTTCAGACCGCAAGTCCAGCTCCAGTCCTGCTCCTTGCCACGGTGTGTTACTGCCAGGTCTGGCTGCCTCGCAGCCGCTCTGGCTTACTGTGACTGAAATACGGTTGAAGTACAGCGTGGGTGATGGGACATAAATCCGGCTGTGGCGTAGGTGAACTCTGGGATCGTGTCAGCTCCAGACCTTGCCCATACTTCAGTAGCAGAGTAAATGCCGGAGCTAGTGAGAGCAAAACCAGACATGGCCCACACATATTTTCCTGGTTGGGGAGCTTCCTTTGGAATTTGGATCAACCGTGCGATTTATCACACAGTGTAGCCAGTCATGCAAAGCCAGCCAAACCATGGGTGTAGTTTTCCAAAAATCATTGGGGGTGCTCAATAGCTTTCAGAAAGGCATGCCATATTTTTCGTAGTTAATTTTTTCAGCTGTTCTTTTTTACTGTAGCCATCAGGCATCATGCAAGGAATGATGTCAAATCAGTTCGAGAGCTTGTTTTAATAGCGCCACTGTAAAACGATTTTGGCTCACCCAATGCATTAATAATCATATAGAAGTTTTTGAACATATTTCAGAACACCCTGGGTTTAAAATTTAAATTCAGGCCCTACCGGACTTTTGGTAGGTCCGCGCTTAGGCAGCCTGGTCTGCATAGCTCTGCACGAATCAGCTTATATTGAGGGCTATCCAACATGACGCCTGACGGGACAGGCTCGATGGTTACTCTCCGGACATGGTTCTCGTGAAATATTGCATTTTGTCCCTGGAACTTTAACCCTCGCCGGCACAGGCCACTTTCCGTCCTTCGATGGCACAAGGGAGGGGGGGGGGTGGTAAGACCACACCCCTCGCGTTTGGCCTCTGATCGAGCTAGAGCTTCGCGGAAAAAACGAGCGTGTTGCCCGTCACGAGAAAATGCCGATGATACCCAATTTTAAGCTTGCAAACGCCCGGCTAATGCGAGCCGACATACGCCGAATCGCGATTCCGGCCAAACATGGTCTCGGAAAGGAGGTCACAGGTCAAAGGTTATTTGGGTCAGGGTCATGAAATTTTCAGGGTAGGTGTAAAATTGATCAATGCGAGAGTACTGAAAGTTTCGTCCCGATCGGCCTTTTTTTACGCGAGTTATTCGCGAAAACCCTTAGGGGGGATGCATCACCCCCTGTGCCGGCGAGGGTTAACCCGCGCCGGGCCGGTGCTCTGAGATTCCGCGCCGGGCCGGGGGTGTCTGAACACCCCCACCCCCCCCCCCCCACCCCTTCTAACTCGGCTCCTGGACCACGTAGCTACGCGCGGTAAGCGACAATCGAAAGAACGTCCAAAATAAGGACGAAAACACTTCGGGTCATTTTTTGGGTCAGGTCAAAGGTCAGGTCACCAGAGGTCACCAAAGGTAAAATGTTGCCTATTTCAACATTTTGGAAACTGTCAACGGCTATCTCGGGAACCGATAGAGCTACAGCGCCGAGAAAAAGCGCATTCGATAACCCTTTTACAGACCTTTCTGAGTAATGTTCTTAGATTTGACCTCAGGTCAACGGTTTAGCCTCCAGAGGGCAAAACCTCCAAAAATAACCGTTTTTACGAAAAATGTTTTTTTTTCAGCAATAACTTTTGACTCAAAAAGCCATGACATTACTTTTGCCAGCATCGTGTTCCTCTCGTCGAGACGCGTCGAATGAACTATAATTTGACCTTCAAAGGTCAACTTGAAAATTTGACCCCAGGTCAAGGTCATGACCTGACCGGAAAAGGTCATGTGGCATATCAGTCGGTCCGCAACGTCGAGCCGAACACACCTAAGGCGTTTTCAGCGCTCTAGCACGCCTCTAGCAGAAGTTATTAGCGAAAAACTGTTAGATTCTGTTCGTGACCTGAGATGACCTCGGGGACATAACCAGGGGTCACAGTTGCCATTTTTCGGTTCAGTGTGTCAATTTTACCTACATCTCGATGTTTGAGAGTGTCTAGAATGGCGTTTGTGCAAATCAGACGTTTTTCAATTTTCTCCCATTGACTTATAATGGAGAGGTCGCAAAATTGACCTGACCTTAGGTCACCGATATCAAAATTCTGAGATAAACATTTTATAGATAATGTTGCTCTTATCAATTGCTGAAAGTTTCAAGGCAATCGATCAATCGGTGTAGCTATGACGAGCATTCATTTTTTTCTGAGGTGAGGTCACTTGGCGTGACCTGGTGACCTGACCTAAGGCGACCTGGGTCTAAAATTTTCATAACATGTGCGGAAAAGATGCCCGAACAGGTGTGCTAACTCAAAAACGGCGGGGGGGATCCGTTTTTGAGATATCTGCGAAAAACCGCGGGGGGGGGGGGGGTGTTCAAACACCCCCCCGGCCCGGCGCGGGTTAAAACTGAGTCCATCAAAGCCCGCCTCATTCATACCGATGTCATGTTCTTGTACGCACTCCTTCACCACCGTACCGACTGCGCTTACCTGGTATCGATGTTTGGCCTTAACCCTCGCCGGCACAGGGGGGGGGGATGCAACCTTCCCACCCTCGGGGGGTTTGTTGTAACGGGGGGGGGGGGTTGTTTGTTTGTTGGGGGGGGGGGTGTGGTAATTTATTCAATGTATATTCTCATTTCTCTTAGTCACTGAATTGGGTAAGCATAGTATTTGCATGATTCACTGAAGGAATAAGGAATAAGGATGGTAATGGGCTAAGGAGGCCACAGGTGGCCCATAGGACGCCCATATCTCGTCTATCTGTTACTTTTGTTACTTTGCACTTCATGTCTCATGATTTGAGCTCATTACAAGTACTAGGAGATGGAAATACTGATTATCGAGGGCCTTGAGTCAGCTGGGAATGTTTTGAGGAGGCTGTGGGTGCTTTAAGGAGGCAGGGGGTGCTGAGCTCAGGATTGGGGGTGCTTGAGCACCCACAAAGAGATATAAAGTTACACTTATGAGCCAAACACCTGGCTGAATGGTTACTGCACACTAAATTCAAACTGAATTACAATATGGTGGCATGGCAGGTAGGTACCTATATGCACATTATCTAAATGCTAATGAATTTTATAAACTGAGGTCACAATCCCAGCTAAAAAACGGATAAAAACTTGCAGAAAACAAGTTGAAATCCAACCAATGGATATCAATTCACTGCTTAGTTTAAGTTTAACAAGGAATAGGCTTCAACTTCAGCTACATATCAATATTACTTGTACAAATACAGCAAATAATTATTATCGTAACTTGAATATTTGCAGTTCAAGTTGTACCAGTTGGATATAGACAGTTATACCACCAGCAAGAAGAGAAGGTGATAGAAACAACAGGAATTATCAATTTGAAAGTCCCTGTATTATCATTAAATTATTTGCTGTAAACACACCCACTTGAAACAAATCAAAATCGAAAATTAAAAACACACGCGCACACACCGGACGCCGGTGAAAACAGGGCGCCGGAGGGCATATTAGTCACGTGACATTTGTAAGTTCTCCCCCTTCGTGGGCCTTGTACATGCCAAACATCACGTGTAAATTTCACGAACCTTGATCAAATCGCCCCAGGCGCCCTGTTTTCACCGTCGTCCCACACACCACCGGCACAAAAAAGGTAAAATGGTGAATGCGTCAAGGTTTAGATAATAAAATATGATTTCACTAAACTGCAGATCTTTTTTGTAAACAAAAATACAGACAAATTTTCGGTTCTATGAAAAACCATTATACCTAGTTGTTTGTAATCTAGGTATTAAGGTATGACTATTGAATAACTATTTAAAACGAGTGTAAAGGAGAAAAACGTCAAATATTGTAGAACTTCAATAAATTTACATACTGATACCTAAGCCAGACAAGAATGGAAGTTGGAACTTTTATGGGACAGCTTGAGATAAGGAGTAGGCCGGGACCTGTTAGAACGTCGTAAAGTGTGGCTGCTATGGGGTTTTTCGGGGTGCTTATCTAGAATATCATGTGAGTTTTGATCACAGATGATGTCTTCATCCATTTAGGCCAGGTCGGGTCACAGGCGCGGATCCAGGGGGGGCGACGGGGGCGGCCGCCCCCCCCCCCCCCCGACATCCGAAAAAGGCGCCCATAGCCCGCGGCAGAGAGGGCGCCCCGAGCAAAACAGAGGCGACACAGCAAAGGTTGAGCAGAAATAGGGCGCCTCCAGCAGAAGTTGGGCTCACCAAGCAGGAGAGCGACGCCCAATTGCCCATTCCCAGCAGATCAGAGTCGCCCCAGAAGCAGATGGGCGCCCCCAGCAGAAGAGGGGCGTCTTATTACAAGAATAAAAAGATGCCTTCTGTTCAAGAGGGGCACTCCTGGCAGGAGAGGTGTCCCCCTGAAGAGGAGCGACGCCCCAGCAAAAGTAGAGAGGCGCCCCCATTCCAAGAAGAAGAGGGGCGCCCTAACCGCAGATAGGCGCCCCAACAAAGAAAAAGAGAAGCCCATAATAAAAAAAAATGGGTGCCACTGGCAGAAAAGGGGCGCCCCCGGCAGCGGAGGGGGCCCAGCAGGAGAAAGGAGCCTCCAGCAGGAGACGGGCGCCCCAGCGAAGGGGGGCGCCCCAGCAGAAGAGAGGAGCCCCCTGCAGGAGAGGGGCGCCCTCAGCAGAAGAGGGGCGCCCCAGCAGAAGAGAGGCGCCACAGCAAAAGTTGATCAGAGATGGGGAGCCTTCAGCAGAGGTTGGGCTCGCCAAGCAGGATAGGGGCGCCCCATTGACAATATCCGGCAGAAGACAGACGCCCCAGCAGCAGATGGGCGCCCCCGGTAGAAGAGGGGCGCCTCATTACAAGAAGAAAAGGAGTATATTCTGCACAAGAGGGGCGCCCCTGAGGCAGCGGAAGGGCAACCCCAGCAGAGGGGCTGTGCCCCAGTAAAAGGAGAGTGGTGCCCCGCTCCGAGCAGAAGAGGCCCGCCCAAGCAAAAAGAGGAGCCCCATAAGACGAAAAGGGATGCCTCTGGCAGGAGAAAGACGTCCCCCGCAGTGGAAGGGCGCCCCCAGAAGAGGCGTCTCTAGCAAAAGATAAGTGCCCCTGCAGAAGAGGGGCACCCCAGCAAAAGTTGGGCAGAAATGTGGCGCCCCCAGCAGAATTTGGGGTCGCCGAACAGGAAAGGGCCGCCCCATTCACAGTAGAAAAAGGGACTCCCCAGCAGCAAAGGCGTGCCCTAACAGAAAAGGTGCACTTCCAGTAGAAGCGGGACGCATCAAGAAGAAGAGGGGCACTTCTAGCAAAAAAAATGGGCGTCCCAGTTAAGTGGGCCGCCCAGTGGCGGATCCAGGGGGGCAAAATGGGCATTTGCCCCCCCCCCCCCCAAACGGCATGATTTTAACATTACGCCTATGGACGATGCATGGAAAGAATCGATAAATTTTTATGGTTTGCCCCCCCCCCCCCCCCAAACCTCTGAGCTGGATCCGCCTCTGGGGCCGCCTACAGCAAATTGGTCGTTCTTAGAAGAAATGAGGCGACTTCAGCAAAGTGAGCCTCCCCATGACGGATTGGGCGATCCAAGCAGAGGTTGGGCGCAAATATCTTTAAAACGGCGGCGCTGCGCGCAGCCACCTAGGGGGACGTGACAACGCACGGCGTGGGTTTTAAACTCTCGATTTTGACGACGGTTTGGCGCCCCCAGATTGCCAGGTCGCCCCTATTTCAACTTGCCGCCCCCCCCCCCCCCCCGAAAATTCCTGGATCCGCCCCTGTCGGGTCAGGCCAGATCAACCAGTAGGAGTCCTGCCGGATATTCATAGTCAGTGGCGTATTCAGGGGGGGGGGCCATGAGGGCCATGGCCCCCCCCTTTCCGCCCAGCTGCCCAGATGGCGCCCCAATTAGCACCGACTAGGCTGATGCTGTTTTACAGAGGGAACATAAATTAAAAAGTGATGTGCAGGCAGGAATCGAACTCAAGATCTCTTCGGGGGTGCCTGGACACCCCTATGTCCTCCAGGGCACCCCCAAATAGGACCTGAGCCCCCCAATGTTGAAGGCCGAAAGGCGCCCCTCCGGAAACCAGAATATTCCGAACCCCCAGGGTCGATGGCGCCCCTGAAGAGCCGCTGGCATCCACCTGAACGGAACAGTCGCCCCATTAAAGGAAAAGGGCCACCTTTAACATGGGGATTGAAACTGAGATAGCCATCTTGTAGCCCGTGTCCGAAAACCTATTTGTTTACCTCCTTACGGCCGATTTCGGCCTCCATTCGTAGTTATCGGCAATTTTAAAAGAAAATACGCCAGGAATGCGTCCTTATCCCACGAATGCGTTCTTATCCGACAATACAGCCACTCGCGGCGAGGCTTTGGTTTTTTACCAATCAGCTCCAACCAGCTCAGCTTTAACCAATCAGCTTATCTGACACAATCCGACGAGTCTGTCTTCTGAACGCTGATTGGCTTGAGTGTGACGTCATCGCTATGCCATCATACGTAGAGAGTATCAACATAGTACCAATGTGTTAAATAGTTTTAAATACTTTTTAGCGAATTGTGCACTTCTGGCACCAGTTTTAAAGAGAAAATGAAAAATAATAATGTCAAAATGAAAAACAACGATCTCTTCATATTTCACGAAGGTGGCCCTTTTCCTTTAAAGGTTGATGGCGCCTCTCTGAAGTTCACAGTTGCCCCATTCAGCCCCAAGTCCAAGATCGATGGCGCCCTCTGAAACCACTGGCGCCCCTCTAAAGCACCTGCATTCTTCTCAAGATCACAGTCGCCCTATCCAAGATCAATAGCGCCATCAAGAGAGCCACTAGCGCCCCCCCCCCCCCCCCCCCGCTTGAGACTGAAGTCGCCCCATTCAAGCCCAATGACGCCCCTCCAGAGCGTCCGGTGCGCTTCTGAAGATCACAGTCGTCCTCATCCGAGGTCGCTGGCGCCCCTCAAAAGTCACTGGCGCCCATCTAAACGGAGATCACAGCTGCCCCATCTTAAGATCGATGGCAACCCTCTGAAACCAATGGCGCTCTTCGCACCCGGCGCCCCTCTGAAAATCATATTCGCCCCATCCGAGACAACGCCCCTTGAGACTACAGTCGCCCCACCCAAGCTCAAGGCTCCCCTCTAGACTCTAGAGCGTCCGGCGCCCTGCTGAAGGCAACAGTGGCCCCATCCATGCCCAATGGTGCATTCAACACAGTCTAAAGATCATAGTCGCCCCATCAATCAGAGATCGCTGGCGCCCCTCAAGAGCCACTGGCGCCCGCCTGAGCCGGGACTTCAGTCGGCCAATCCTAGATCAATGGCGACCCTATGCAACCACTGGCGCCCCTCTGAAAATCCCAGTCGGACCATCCGAGATCAATTTCGCCCCGCCCCATTCAAGATCGATAGCGCTCCCCCCCCCCCCCCAGAAACCACTGACGCTAGGTAATTATTTGACAGTGGGGCTCTCTCATCGACACCAAGGGCCCTTTTGAAGATACAGCAGCCAGGCGGCGCAGAGCTGGGCTAGGATGTGCCAAGCGTTTCTTATAAGGCAGCCTCGTTAGTGCCACCCCTCGTTGCGATACTGCCCCTCAATGCGACGCCGCCCCTTCACCGTACAATGCCACCCCTCAATACAAGTGGTGCGTCTCAGCACAGTGCCGCCCATCATTGCGATACCGCCCCCGCCTAGCAGTGCGGTGCCGCCTCCAGCGTATGCGTTTTTTTTTAATTGAACCTGCTGGGGGTGTTTGAGCACCCACTTCTAACTCAGCTTGTGGGCCACGTTGAGACCCGCAGTAGGCGGCGTTCGAAAGAGCGTCAAAAACTTTTGCAAAACTACTTAGACCATTTTTAAGGTCAGGTCGAACTGGTCGAAGGTCAGGTCACCAGAGACAACCGAAAATCAAATTTCGCCGATTTTGACATTTTTCGACAAAGCTCAAGGCGTAAATCAGGATTCAGAAAGAGATTGAGCTACAGCCCCGCAGCAAAGCGCATTCGATAGCTCTTTCTTATTAATTATCTCAGATTTGACCTAAGGTAAACGTTTTAGCCTCAAAATATACGTTTTCGCGGAGGACGTTTATCTGTAATACCTTTTGACTCAGACCTGCCCGAGATTAGTTTAACCGGCATCGTGTTCCATTTTTCGACACGAATCAAATGAATTAGTATTTGACATTAAAAGGTCATTTTGAGAATTTGACCAAAGGTGAAGGTCATCACCTAACCGGGAATGGTCATATTGCATATTAGTCGAACCGTATTGTTGAGAAGGAAAATAATTATATAAGGTGTTTCATTGCTCTACCATATCTCTATCAAAAGTTATTGTCCCAAAACTACTGAAGACCTTTCATGGCCTGATATGACCTCAGTAACATAAAAGGGGTCACATCTAGTGATGTCAATTACGGAAAATCGGAATACCGATACCAAACCAAATACCAA